GAACCACGAGATTAAGCTGATAAGTAATTAGGGTTGTCAGACTTTTTGAAAGATTAAACTTAAGGGTCAAAATCCTAGGGGTCAGGAAATCTTCCCAAATGGCATTCGATTCCGCTTCTTGGGCTTTGGTCAGAGCTGGGAATGGCCTGGTGAATCACTCAGGACCACATCTTCTTGCAGTAAAAGGCGTCATGTTCGAAGAAAAGTTATAGTGCTTGGTGAGCATCATGACATACCTGGTAAAAGCTTGTCGAATGAGCCGACCATCATCTCTTGGAGTTAATTTTACCAATTGCGGCTCTTTGACTCTCCTGTTCTTTATCTCTTTAGCATTTTCATCAACCTGGTTTTTGTATGGAAGGCAAGCTTTGAATGAAGCATTCGGAAAAAAATTGAAGAAGCCAGAAAGATCCATAAAGGAGAAGATTTCCTTCGTCCTCTAGGTTCTTTAGTTGAGTGACACCTTCGCTCAGGGATTCGTACAGACTAGCCAAGATCATTTCACTTAGACATAGATTGTGGCCAGACTGAAGTTGATTTGCCATGGTTAAAAACTTCTTGGCTACTTGAGGCGATTTTGAGCAAAAGACACAACGGGATAACCATAACGCCAGAAAAGTTATATGTTCTACATCAGATAGGGTCCTCGTCGCTAGCCCCATGTTCGAGCAATAGTCTGGATCTACTTTCGACAGCATGATTAAGTCATAGATACCCATGTCTTTCTAGGTTTGGGATTTCATTTTTTTCTAATTTTTCTAGCCAACTTAAGTAATTAGAAGGGTCCTTAAAGGAGGGACTTGCCCTAAATATCCTAAAAATTTTCATATACCTAAGGTCAATGGCCTCTTCATTCAAAGGAGTATCCTGGTTGGTAGGATTAGGGTCCTCATTGCTAGCCCTAGGTTTTTTAGTTGACCTATGGGTTGGTACCTATGGTAACTTGGGAAAAAGTCCTTAAGCCTACTAGGATCAACATTTATATCAGACAAAGGACCAAATAAATCCATTGGCTTACCAGCAACAGAAAGAGGAATAAGCACCTGGGATTCATAAATCCTTATTTTTTCTTCAACAAGCGGTTCAAGAAAGTATTGTTGATTTCCTACCATAGTTGGACCGTCGATGGTGTCAAATGGTGGAAGTTGAGAGATCTTTTTGGGAGCCTTCATAGGTTTGGAAGTTTCCTTGGGAGCTTGTGTGGCATCTTTGTTGGAACTGTTTGAACAAGTCATTGTTGAAATAAAGTAAACTGGGTTGGTTGGAGGAGAAGAAGATTCTGAGTTCAAGGAGTCAGAAAGTGTAAAAAGAGAAAAAAATAAATGGAAAGGGGTATTTATAAAGGTGGAAGCTGAAGCATTTCTAAGGCATCATTTATGGCTAAAATGAGAGTGGGACACATATTCTTTCCTCCATCCTTGATGAAGCGGTGGTAGTTACTACCTAGCCTCATGATCTCCTAGGGTCTATGATACATGATGATGGTAAAAGATTTTCACGTGGGTTTTGAGGAGACGTTTTAGAAAAGTAATCATAGCTATGACGTCATAGGCGTGCTACAGAAGCTAAACAGTTTATAGTAATGTCTCACCAGATATTTCAAATCATACGTGGGTCAATCAAGGTGTCGGATAAAGTTATCAAAAAATGTATTTTTCTTCAGCTATCAAAAATGACATTTTTGGGGGGTAATTTGTTAGCTCCCAAATTTGACTCTTGGTTTTTTTATTCAAGAAATAATAAAGATAATTACGTAAAGTGATGATAGTGTTTTGACAGGGCTATAGTTGAAACAGTCTTTTGCGTGAAAGGGAAACTATGAATAAGAAGTGAAGAAAAAATATGTTGAAGATGGTTCGACAGAGATGATATTTCGACGTATGATTTAAATTCAAATAAATGAGGGAATTTTCGTTCTTATCCAAATTTACGAAGAAGGACGCGTGGAGTTTTTCTATGAAAGAGAGACATGCCGAGCGCCATTTGTCATTTGTTTGTAGTGTAACTGTTAAGGTCGGTTATTTTCTATCATTATAAATATAAGATTTTAGTGTTAGGATGGGGGTGTTCCAAAGTTTGTACAAAGATTCTGAAATTACTCAAAGTATCCGCGTGTAGAGAAGAAGAGTATGTCGAAGAAAATGTATGTTTGATTACCTCATATCTTTATGTTTTAATGTCAATTTTTTATCTTTTTATCACAAAGTCTATATCTTTAGTATTCAAGTTATTTAATTGTCTTTTGATCAAGTTTTTGCACTTTACTTCTTCTAAATTTGAAGTTTCTAGTTGTTAGATCATGGATAATATTGGAATCTTTATTATTCCCCAAACTTTTAATTAAGAATTGCTAGCACATGTTTTAGGATTTGTGTGGTCGATCTTGTATGTAACTCAATCTCTTTTAATTGGAAAGACCAACGGTTATTTACAATTTTTTCCAGTAAATAGACAGCCTTCTTCATCACATGTCCAGGACACTCCTTCAACCTAGTATCCCACCCTATCATTGACTTTTCCATCCCTGAGGTGTCAGGATTCAGCTGAGGGCTCATCACAGGCCCCGTCATCCCGCATACCTCGTCGGGATACTCATGTTCCTCATCCAACCGATGATGTTGCTCTGGTGCCACCTTCAGAGGCCAATGACCCACCAACGAAGGATGCTGGTCACGATGACTATGATGAGCCTGAGGGTTTCCCAGGGGGTCCCTTAGATATGTCCCTGCTGACAGGGTATGCTGACCATACTGCCAGACATGTCAGGGATAGAGAGGTAACATTACTCAATTTGTTTCTTTTTATTTTCATTAGAAATTTATAATTTGTACTATTCTTGATTACTAACATTGTTTCTTATTTATGCAAATTTTTCAGACTCATGAGCCGCAGAAGTTCTATAACCATGGGCGGAAGATATTATCTTTCGAGCAACCATAGGAGGCTTGTTTCTAGAATTTCCTTGTGGCCTCTGGTTTGAAGGACCTTTGTGATATCGGTTACAGTCTGATCCATAACGGGATGCTGATGAGATTTGCGAAGAGATGGCACCCTGAGACGTCCTTCTTCCATCTACAGCACGGCGAGCTGACTATTACACTGGACGACATCTCTAGTCTATTGCATATACCGATTAGGGGTACCCTCCTCCATCACGGTAGGATGATGAAGGAGGAGGCGAGAGAGATGTTGATCGATGAGCTTAGGGCTGATCTAGTGGGTGCGCTGGAGGTGGTGGATAAGACCAGAGGGGCTCATGTGCAGTTCTCCTTTCTAACATGTAGATTCCGTGAGGCGCTCGCTGCTACATGCCAGGAAGATGGTGATCCAGCTGAGGTTGAGATACACTGACGACGTGTGCTGAGGTGTTGTTTTCTATTTTTAGTCGGCACACAGATGTTTGTGGACACTTCCTCCACATATACTGATGTCGCCTACTTGAGGTACTTTTTGGATTCCACACAGATCCATGAGTACAATTAGGGGGCGGCTACCCTGTCTTACATGTACTGGAAACTAGGAGAGGATGCATGTGGAAGACCATGACTGTGGCAGGCAGCGTGTCACTACTTGTGGTAACTTTTATTTCATTTCTTTTCATTCTATATTTGTGATAATGTTTGATCGTGATGTTTTTTATTTTCATTTCAAGCTTGGATATTTCAGCACTTTCACACGATTATCAGGTGGAGGAGTGTGCCAAACTACACAGAGCAGATGTCGTGTGCCCATGCCTTTATCCCTCTTAGAGGGAACCAGGCGGTCGACCTTTACAGAGTTTATATCGATCTCCTGGTTACTGAGGACATTCGCTACGACGTCTATGCGATCACCGTGGTTGCTGGTTGTTGAGCACGCGCGCGCGCACACACACACACACTCACGCACCCATACACACACACGCACGAACACACGCACACACACGCACGCACACACTTACGAGTGTATGCTATTTTATATTCATCTTAGTTTATTTCAACCTACGACCAACAAAACTAGATTTTTTTTTAAAAAGACCTGTTCTGATAAAATTTCGGAGATGCATCTGCAGAATTTTTTTCATAGATGTGTCTCCAAAAACATCGAACGTAAAAAAAAATGGTAGATACAGATATGTATTTCACGAGGTGCTTAAGAATATCAAGGGGTAGAGCTCATGCTTAAGAGTATCAAGAGATAGATTAAAAAACTCTCTTATGAGAAACTTGTGGATTTGTAAAAAGTTTGCAAATTGGAGTGATGGGCTAAATATATGGGCCTCAAGCCCAACAAAATTCATATTAATTAATTTTCAAATACCTTTTTAAAAAAATTAAGTAATATTAATTGTTTTTTAAAAAAATATTAAATTATAAGTTCTAAAAAAATTAATTAAAATTATTAATTTATTTTATAAAGAAATATTAAATAATAAATTATCTTAATCTGCATTTTAATGTCATTCAAAATTAACTTTACATCCTAGTCATGACTTGCAAAATTGAAGGGAAACCAACAAAATCTTAAAGAATGGAAGGTTGAGGATTAAAAAAAAACTGATTTTTAATTTTAAAAATGAGGGACTAAAGATAAAAATCACAAGTTTGAAGAACCAAAAGTGCATTTATGCATTCAAGCCTAAAAATTATTTAGGTTTAGATGGTATGATTTCACAAAATTAAGAAGCTGATTAACTTTCTCAATTGTCAATATTTTATAAGAGCCTTGTTAATTACCGTTGATTCTGGGGAATAGAAAACTGCAGGCTCAGTTTGGATCAGAAACAGAAACGCACCAGAGAAACATGGAATTTCTCCAACAAAAATAAAAGAAACATTGAATCTAATATGTGCCTCATTTGAAAACATAAATTGGTTCACTAAATAAAGTAAACTTAAATCATTAGTATTTAGTATCACATGTAGGAAGCTAACTACATCCTTCCTCTTTAACTAAATGAACAAAATTCCGCCGGCAAAACATATTAGAGAGGAACCAACAAGAGTGTGAAGTGTATTAACTCACTCCAGCTTTATACTGTCCATATCATTGATCACTCCCTCAAGCTGTAAACAACACATAAGAAAATGGTTATGTAAAAGAATTAATGATAACTCTCTGACAAACCTAAAAAATGGAGTGTCGGAGACGCAAGCATACCTTAACCACCTGACGCAGGAAGTAATCCCCATATCGTTTGGCAGGTTTAGACTCCACAACATGAACTGTGTCCTGCAGCAATTGAAAACATAATTCAAAACTTGTGGCAGCATCATTCAATATAAATATTATTCCTAAAGCCTAATTTGTGTCGTCAAGCTAAGAAAACTTATATGAATTCTGATAGGATCAACCAAAGAGATGTTCGCACTATCAAATCCACTTTAGACTCCTCAGACATACATGATCACCAATTTAATATCACTATTATTATCAAGATACTTGTTCAACTAAGAAAGAGCCCTTGAGTTACAATGGGCCAGAAGCTCTGTTAACATTTCCGAACGGTATTTTGAATAAGAATCCCTTCAAAGAAAAAAGGATTCAGAGAGGAAGAAAAAGTAAGTGGGCTTACATCATCAATATAGAAATCCACATCAGCATTGGATATAACTTTTCCAGCAGTATCAACAGCATGAGTCTTGTGCTTGTATGTCATCAAGATAGTCCTGTCGAGCATCAAAATCAAAATGCATAAATAAACTAGTCTCCAAATATAAATTTAATAAACAAGAAAATATTGATCCAAGGAAATGCTAATTTAATTATAAGTCTTGCAACCTTAAGGTCGGTTCATCTACTTCCATGTAACTTGCAAGTTTTCCAAGGGAGATTGTTGAATATACTTTCAAGAATGTCCGGAGACCTGATAGCAACTGTTGCTGCTTTGCTTCATAAAGGAACAGTTTCAATTGAAGTCTATAGGCATCCTGGTGAAACAAATAACTTTCAGTAATACATTATAGTAAGAGGGAATGGAAGGGAGCAAAAAACATCTAAACAACTATTGCTGAGACGTTGAATAACTGTCCAGTCATTGTAAGCCACAAATCAATTCATTACTATAGAAGGCTCACAGAGTCAATAGAGGTGTGAGATCAGATATGTGAACATGGATATCTAGACATGTTTCAACAAATAAACAAAGCATTTAACTGTAAGGAAAAAATTTGAAGAAAATAGTTACCCCATAAGGCTTTGGGTAGCAAACACGAGACATTTATGAAATTCAAGGAAACCTGAGTTTAAAATGTCAAAATTCATTTAAGCACGGATCATTAACTGCTCAGCTGACTATAAGGTCAATAGATCATTTTCTCTTTCTCATAAGGCAGTTATTTGGTTGATGAGGTTGGGTATTCCAAACCACATTTATTTCGCTCTAGAAGCAAAGATTAGTTGAGTTGATAATAAAGAGAGAGAAAACAAGTGCTTTCAAATTCAAATTTGAAGTTAACTGAAGAAAACTTCAAATTTGAAGTTTTTTATCCATGCAATCACTCAAAATGCACTTTGGTCCAGAAACCAGAAGGAGTTTAAGGGGTACCTGGTTGTAATTTACAAGAGGTTCGTCAAAATTGGGCGCTGAAGGGGTAATAAACTTGGGGCATGCATACGAGAAGAGCTCATCATACATAGCAAAAGCCTCGTCATCATACCGTTGCATTCTAATCATCTTTTCACCATACTTCTCTCGCAACTGTGAGTTCACAGTTTCATCAACAAGCCTGCTCTGTGGGCAGAGTGAGAGGGATATCGCCAACAAGGCATACATTTGTTCATTCTTCTTCAAAATCTGTTCATATTGAGGAGATTTCTGATGATACACCTTTGTCTTAAAGATGTACAAGAGAATTTTGTTGAATTCTCTAATTGCTTCCACATACCTGTAGAATAGGCTACATTTCAGGCCATGTAATAATGTAACCCGTATAAAGAAAGCCCCCATATAAAACATTGTGAAATATAATTTTACTATAGAGATGCTTGAAATGGCATGGTTACTTGAGTACTTGCCAATTTCTAATAAATCTTAAATTTTTTACTGTAATTCATAACCTAAAAACCCTGGAAAGAACATAGATAGAAATCTCTTTTCATGCTTGCATATAGCAAGATGAAGTTCTAAATAAGACAACCCGGGTTGAACACTACCAATTTTTTGTGCATGTACATAGGCAGCATAGTACCACAATGGAGACAACCATTAGTAATGCATACAGCGCAAATATACCTCAAATAAATAAGTGGTTTAGGTAGTAAATTTCTTTTAGTTATTAAAGATGTGTGAATCACTGACATTATGAAACTATTAATTAAAGAACAATGTCATAATACAAACAGAAAACATGCAAGCAAGGAGTGGATGTAATGACCTGCGGAGCATAAGATTGGCAAAACCATAGTGATAAATGGTGGTAATGTGGCATCCGATAACAATGGTGTAGAGACCTGGCTGACTGATATCAATAGGTTGCAAGCACTTGAGACCAGTATGATAATCACCTAAGAGACAATGAACCCTCAGCAAGCCAACCATACCAAAATACCCCAAAACCTTCAAGACATTGCTACCCCCATTGTAATCGTAGCCATCATTAGCAGTGAACTGCTCAAGCCCTAGCTTCTCTTGCTCTAGTATCTGAATAATCGTTGACTTCTCAACAAGAGCTTGCAAGAAGTTGAGAACACCAAAAACATTCCAAGCCTAAGACAGCAAAAGACATAACATAAATAAGACCCTCTTCGGATAAACAATTTAATCAAGTAATTATCATATAAGTGGCAATGTATAAGCTATTTCTACTACAAAAATAATATTAAAGCCAAACTGATTTCATAAAAGCTTTATTGTATGTTTGGTTCTGCAGTGAAGAAAATTAATTTCGAGTGAATTGACTATGTTAAATTGATTTTGACTAAAAATGAGTTGAAGGTAAAATGAGTAATATTTGGATAAATTACTGCAAAGCATAATCAATTGTGAAAAGCATAATCAATTCTACTTGAGAGCAATCAAGCACGTCAGAATCAATTCTACACCTCCATAATCAATTTTGAGTGCTCCAAACATGAAACCAAACATACACTTCAGCTGCTTTCATGAATCAACTTGGAGAGCTTGCAAAAAAAAGCTAAAAACAGATGTGTACACACCATAAGTTATTTTCATTAGCTCTCACAAACAGTCTCACAATTAGATAAACTAAATTAAATCAATGCAAACAAACCCTAAGTTCAATATAAAAAGAACACAAATTAAAAACAAACACCAACATTACACAACGAATTACAATAAATAAAGTAAAATAAAAAAGCTAGTTAGTTAGCTATAGACCTGATCGAACTGTCTCAAGAGAGCAATTTCCTGTTCATTTTTGTTCTTCATCTTAGCACGATACTGACAAAAGCTTTGAAACTGATAAACAAACTCATCAACCATATCCCAAAGCCACTGATTCGGCAGTTGCATATTCACAACCCCATGAAGAACAACCTGGAACAGATTACAGTAATTATCCCACGAATCGATTCTCTGGCGGACAGTAGGAGTCAGACGAGCATAAAGGTGGCGAAACCACATCTCGCGGTACAGAAGACAGAACACATGGTCGTTATCGACGTACTGAGCGACGGCGTCGACGGAAGGCCACGGAGTGTCCTTGAAAAGACGCTCCGATAGAGATTGGAAGGAGCTTTCGTACATCTGGTGGATCTCGTATACATTCTTCTCTCTAATGTGGCGGTAGAGATGAACGACGAAGGTTTTGACGGAATCAGGAACGAAGTTGGGATCGTAACCTAAATCTAGAGATTGAAGTTCGTCGTTCGCCATTGTTGAGAGATGGGTTATAGTTTGGCCGCGAGGTGTCACCCAGATTAAAGCTAGGGTTTTAAGAGTTACTCTGGTGTATCGTTTACTCTATCTAGAGTATCTGTTATGCCTCATGTTTTGTTTTTTTTTTAATTTAATTTTTCTATTTTAATTCTAATAGTTTGATTTTCAATTCTAATATTTTCTTTTGCTAAAATTAATTTAAAGAAATTAGAATTTAAAGGCAATGTAATGTCTCTATAAAGAAATATTTCATACATTTCATGAAATTATTTTGAAGTGTCAAATTATAACCGTATTTAAAAAATAAAAATGTGATACAAGTATATTATTAGTTGACAATATATCAGTGTATATATTTTTCTTTTCAAAAAATTATACTAAAATAGTGAAATAAATTGTAAGAAGTATTTATGGCTAAATTCAGGTCCGGCCCAAGGGATAGGCGATTGAGGTCACCGTCTCGGGCCTCCAAATTTTATTTCTTATTTTTTTAACGCTTGTACTGTTAAAGTTGTTTTTTATGTTTGAAAGTTTTTTATCTCCCTCCTTGGTTCTCTTGACTATCATGCGTATTTTTTTAAATACTCTCAAGCTTCGGAAATATATTTTAATACACATTTTTTTAACTCAATTTATTTTCGAAAATAATTTATTTATAAATTTGGGATTTGATTCAAAAATGAATAAAATACGTGTTTTATAATAATTTCGAAGATATATCTCTAAAAAATTTAAAATTGAATAAAAAAATACATCTGAAAATATATCTCTAAAATTTTGAAACATTTAAAAAAATTAAGAGACCAAAAGATAAGATAAAAAAACTCTCTTATGTTTTCAAAAAATTGAAGTATGTTTTAGTTTCATTTAACATGCAAAAGTCGTGATTTGGATTTTTTTTAAATTTGTTTAAGATCAACTTTTTTCAAATAAAATATAATATAATGATTCTATTATATACTAAAAATATTAAATATTATTAATTATAATAAATTAATATATAATTTATTTTTCAAAATATATAAGTATAAAAATTTTAAGATTATATTTTAAAATCTGCATTAAGTCTCAGTATGCTTTAGGCCGGTCCTGGCTAAATTAAATGTTTCGAAATAAAAAAGATAAATAAAAGTTAATTAAAATGGAAGCACTTGATAAAATCTAACAATTTATCTCATAACCAACTTATGATTTTTAAAACACTAAATTAAAAGAAATAAAATATTATTAATAACTAATAATGTCTATATGACATTTATATCATATAAAATATATATATGGTTTTCTTGTATAGAGATATCTGGTGTAGAAGTATGAACTCGAACTCGCGATATTTCATTTGTTCATTTTTAATCAAGTAAACTCCAGTTAATAAACTCTCACTCAGTCATTGTTTTAATTAACTCAAGAATCGGTGAGGTCTTCGATCTGGTCTAATTATTGGATTGAATAAGCTATTGAACTAGTAAGAACATGTCGTAATGGCCAAAATCCATAAAAACCGATGAATCGACAATTTTGGAAAATCAACATGTTAAATGCACTTTTTTTGCACACAAAACGACGTTGTTTTGATGTTTTTTTTTAAGAAATAAAATCAAAATATAAGTATACTTTGTTCAAAACTTATCTGAAACAACTTTCGGAATTAAATTTATTAGTAACGACAGTTATTTTGATATTCAGATTATGTTGCAATTATACTTTGTTTAAAATTTATTTAAATTTGTATTTTGTACTATTTTGTTGTGTGTGATGACTACGTTTAGAATTTGAATTTTAAGAGTGAATTTATGAGTTTATGATATTTTGAATCAGAGTTATTTGATTCGACTAGTTTAATAACTATATAGTTTTGTTAAATAGACAAGTTTATCCAAACGAATTATCCTATTTAATTCAATTTTGTTATGCGGTTAGACCAGTGACTCGATGGTTCGACCAATGAACTAGCAACTTATTACCCTTACTAGTTTGATAATCAATCCAATTTTTTTAAACATTCTAATAAAAATCGAAATTGATAAGTTAGACGCCAACATCAAAGTTTGAACAAGTCGATATTGATATATTGGACGCAACATTAGGGTTCAAACCCTAGATTGTGAGAGTGAGTTTCTAGTGGTTATTACCACTGACAAAAACAATTGAGATGGTGTCATGGACTTCCATTAATCAAAGACACGTGTATGGTATAAATCGAGTATCCATTATACGCAATTGCACAAATTAATCTCTCGAGCCAAGAAGGACCGCAATATACGGCAAAGTTCAAATTTAAGACTTTTGCTTAAACTGGAATATACTTTTATCATTTCATATAATACCTTTCAGGTTAAGACACATTTATATAATGTACATCATGGAATTCCTTAGCTCCGAGCTTTTACAAGTCGGTATAGGAGTATGCAAGTTGGATATCATGAACCTAGGCAAGTCGGAGTCGGTCAAGGTAAAATAGTACCACCAAACTATAGTAGGTTAGATGTTGTCTTAGAGAAACTACGACAGAGGCATAAGTCGATCTGATCTCTTGAAAGGTGCTAGAGAGGAACATGAGGGACCATATAGAACAATTACCAAATGTCTTCATGGTTGCATGAGAGTTACAAAAAATAATAGGAGAAACGTTACTCGATAATTATAGAGGACGACAGACATTACTGAGGATGGATTTAAACATATGATATGAAGAGGCATCCTTAAAGGAACCATTGATGATGAAGTAAGTATAAAAAGAGACTTCCCAAATGAGGAATGAAGAATAATTAATACCTCCTAGGACGATTATAATCTCATCTGACTAGCTTTAGCGAGATTTCTCCAAATATTGTTTAGCAAGAACATTTTGCGTCCACTGTGGAGCCTCTGTAAAACTTTCTCATGCCTCACAAAAATCATGCATTTTATCACAATTATGCAATGACTGGATTATCTCCTAGCAGGAGTGAAGATCAAACCCCCCAGACATGGCACATCTCTTGGTGATTGTGGAAAACCTACATCGGTAGAATGAGTCTCTACAAGAAAGTATTCATACACTGCAACAGTCACAAAGTATGAAGGAGATGGATGAGAAGGAAGAACTCTTTGATCCTCAACCTCTATCGGAAATGATTTGGGGTGATCAAGTCCCATAAATTTTCAATCTACCACTTTTGCCATCCTTTGACGGAAAAAGTGATCTTCAGAAACACATAATATCAATCAACAATAAAATGTAAATAATTGGGGCTTCCGACTCCCTTAAATGTAAACTCATGGAGGGAACATTCAAAGACATATCATTATGATGACACATAAGTTTGTTGAGACTATTAATTACCAGTTGCCAAGATTTGACTAAAAAGATGGTACAATATTTCTCGACTAGTAAACATAAAAAGGTAACTACCATCAGTCTGTTCAAAGTCTAACAGGGGCCCTCTGAGTCCCTTCGAGAATACATGGCGTAATTCATTGAAGAAATTATAAAATTCTCCCACCCAAATCAGAAAATGTTGGTAGGATCTTTTCAAAGTGGCCTGAAGGTTGGCCACTTCAATGGATCATTGGCATGGAAGCTGGCCACTAGAATGGAGGAAGTCATGAGCGAAGCAGAATGTTATGTAAAGAGGGAGGAAAGTAACATGGATGTGAGGTCCCGAATGCTAAGGAGAAAACACAATCTAGACATGAAGGATTCGAGCCCATAAGAGAACATCACAAGCACGGGTCGAGGGAGAGATCAACGATAAAACCTTCCTGAAGGCCCTATGATAACTTACCTAAAAACTTTACCCTTCTCAATGTGAAGCGTGCGGGCATTCTAAGGAAAATGTATCATCTCAAGTTGATACTCGAACCTAATTGTTCCAAATGGATTAATCTTGTGCTAGAAAGGGATGAATGAGTATGGTGTGCCTACCATCGCACGAGGGGACATCACACCGAGGATTGTCATCACTTTAAAATATAAATTGAGACCCTAAAACAAAGAGGAGTCCATCCAGGAGAGAATTGGACCCAGAGAATGATTTTACCAAAAAGGTAAATAATACTAAAGAAGTACATGAAACTTTGATGGCGCAGCACACACTCAAGACCATCTCAGGAGGTTTTGATGATGGGGGAATAACAAGCTCGGTCAGGAAAAGATATGTTCGTTTAGTAATGCACGTGTCACAAAAACTGTTATTTGAGAAAGAAGGAAAACTTGTTATAATTGGGGTTTCGAGGCAAGACTCATAAGGAGTATTGGTACACGAGAATGACCCGATGGTCATAAAGTTACAAATTCATGATTGGAGTGTGAAGAAGGTACTGATCGATCTAGGTAACTCAGTTGACATTTTATACTAGGATGCTCTAAAAGGTATAAACATGGATACATATGAGTTATTGCATCCAAGGGTACAATGTAAAGGGCATCAGGGTAAGGTATCTGATAGTGAATACATCATCACCTTATAACATCATCATTTGAAGGTCGTCGTTCAACGCTCTAGAAGTTGTGCTATCTACATTTTACCTAACCATGAAATATCCCCTATAAGGTGGATAGGTCAGAATAATCAAAGGTGATAAAGGATTAGTTAGGAAGTGTTATAAAGACATATTAAAATTAAAAAAGAAGATTCACGAGGAGCGACTAATGGTATAGGAATCCTTGAAAGTGAATTTGGTAGACCTGGATCTTCAAGGAGACCCCACAGGCAACAACTTAACCCCAATTGGAGAACTTAAAAAGGTACAAATCAGAACCGAAGAATTTCAAGTCACGTAGATAGGCTCAAGGCTATCCCAAGAAGAGAAGGTGGATATCATCAAGGTATTAATGGACAATGTTGATCTTTTTGTTTGGAAACTGTCAAACATGCTCGGGATCGATCCGAGTGTTGTTTGCCATCAAATATCATTAGATCCAACATCAAAAGTTATGCTGCAAAGAAAACGAAAGAACATAGAAGAAAAAAGGAAAGCAATCACAAAGGAAGTCAACAAACTACTGAAGGTTG